AAATTCTGTATAATTGATGTTGTTTTTATCACGAGTTTACTTCGTCGAGTAAGTTTGATGAATCGGTAAGTAAAAAGTTTGTCTAAATGACAATGGACGTATTTTTTCATCTACAAGGATCAAAAAAAGTATGAAAAAGAAAGTTTTACAATATTTATTTTAAATATCATGGATAGAAACAACTTGCAAGAGCTAAACGAGTCACTACCACGGATTTTTGTCATCGCAATACGCAGAAACTGTAAATAATAATTTGTAAAGTTTTGTTTCACTATACTTTTAGACTTGTTAATAAAGATAGCAATTAAAATTCTACGGCGTTACATATTTATAAAATTACTTATCGTAGTGTGACATAAACGACACGTATTTCTATCTCTGGCCCTGATGTTGTTCAAGTAATCTTTTAACCATCCAAGCCCGCTGCTACCAAAATAAGAAATTTTCATTGGCAACAAGGAACAAACTAGGTTTGTTAAAAAAAAAGAAGTAGTTAAAAGGTAGCGTGCGTTCCAAGGGTAAATTAGATCGTGATAAAACTGGGGAAATTTCCCTTTTAATGTCTTTAACAAAGTTAATTTCTCGAGGTCAATGGCCTTGGATTTAATTTGATATTGATACCCCATATATGTATTTATGTCAACACGCAATGATAATAAATGAATGTATTATAATATATAGTAGTAATAGTGTGTTAAATAATGCTTAGTTATGATTTACAGGGGTTAAAAAAACAATACAGAGTACTAAAAAAACCGACCTCAAAATCATTCATGCCCTAGTTTGCCACCCTTATATGGTGGAATATTTTCTTCAAATTTAAATGGAACCACATCAGAGGTACCCTCTTTCCAACAAAAAAAAAATCATCAAAATCGGTTCACAAAGAGTTATTGCGTAACATACTTACAAAAAAAAAACAAATAAACAGTCGAATTGAGAACTTCCTTTTTTTTAAATTGGTTAAAAATAAGAAAAAAGCCACCTGAGTTCCTTAGTAGGAATGTTATAACCAACTTGAACTTTTAACGCTATATAGAGTCCTTAGATAAAATTGCGGCGAAAAAACGCAAAATTTTTAGTAAAAGACAATTTCTATAATTCTACTAAGCTCAAGTTCGACTGTTTATAGAATACTGCTGTTACATGTATCGATGATTATGTGAAGAAGTATAGAAGAAGTTCATCAACAACACACTAAGCTGCAGAGCCTGGAGTATTGACTTGAAGCTATTTTGTCGGATGCATTGCGAAGATTAATTCGATGCCTTATTTTCTCAGACTCGTATCTATAAAAGTGATTATTCAGGAGAAGGCAAAACTTTCTATTTATTTTAAATTTATTATGAAGGGCGTTAATTTGAATGCATTACTTTAAGAATAGGTGGTAGCCAGTGAGTGAATATGAAGGAAATGTGATGTGAAATTACCCTGTGAAATGTGTATATACAATCCATTTTTTGCATTTCAGTTAACTTTATGCTTTAAGATACCGGTTTGAGAAAGTAAGGCGACGTTATGCTATCTTACTGCACGATTTAATTATACCTTCCTCTTTCTAACACCGGGAAACCACGCTTGTCTGAGGAACACAGGTTCATGTTAATGGTACAACATCTATACGCACGGAATATTGCTTCCTCCTTCTTGATGCTAATAGCTAAGGAATGAAATTCTATGCCTGCGGTTTTGTTCTCCAATAAATACGTACCTTTTTCGCAAGCATGATCCTAGATTAAATCAATACTAACGGGCAGGAGGGGTTGTGGTCTTATTGTAACTCATCAAAACTATTATGACAACTTATGTACACATTACTATTCATAATTAATTTATTTGTGAAAACAAAGGTGCTGTAGAAATTGACATGTTACAAATTAAGTACAGTTTCACTGTGTCTGGCCAAACATTAGTCATACAAACATAATGAAGGTATGTTTATTATACATTTACTCACGTACACTTCAACAGTAAATGAACTACTAACTATCGTATTAATAAAATTAATTTTGTTTTATCTATTCGACATGCGTGTTTATATTAGAAATTTCTTTATGATACCAAGTGACTGGACGGATAAATCGTGGGCCTGGTGGTAAGCTTCACGCCTGTTCATAACAGTTGCAAAATCGCTCTGAGCTTTAAACCGCAAAGATCTGAATGACACTGCAACTGTGCCTGCCACCCTGAGATATAAGTTGAAATGTCTTATGTGCCTATAATTTCACTAGTACCCTGACCATTCTGTAATGCTCACATTATTGTTTGGCGGCAGAAATAGGTAAGGTGGCAGTACTTACCTGGACTCTTTCACAAGGAGCTCTACTGTTACCAAAAACGATATATAACAATCAATTACAAACCTGTGAGAAAAATTACAAAATAATACCTCGTATAGCCTGTTCTATTATTGTTCAGTATTGCAGATTTGTGAATAAAACTTCCGGAAGATAGCGGTCTTTGCCGGACTAAACAAGGTCTATCGCGGACCGTCGAAGCGGGACCAAACGAATCAATAGAGTTCTGTTGTATACGTCATAACATATTGCATAAATAAATAGAAACACATGGCTTACAATCTGTACAAATATTATTACACATAAAATAGACGTGTGTGGCATTTCGCATCAACATTAATTCTTTTATAGATAAAATAAAACTGTGAAAATCCGGTTAAGTATTTTAGCGTGTTAACACTCTAACAAAACAAACAGTAAAATCTTATTTACTATTCGAAGTTCATCTAGTTTTATTATCACACCAAGGACGGGACAAACAAGTCAAGCGCTTTGTGGTAAGCATCACACCATAGCAGTTACAGTGCCCCTTTAAATTACCAAGACCTGAGAGGCACTGCCACCGCACCCGTCACTCTGAGATAAATAAGCCCCTTTCAAAACCGGAACGCAGTATACTATCATTACTCCTTGTCGGCAGAAATAAGTAGGATGGCAGTACTTTCCTGGATGAACTCTTACACAAGGAGCTCTATTGCTACTAAACTTTTAACTCTAACTTCTAACTCTTCATTCTTTTGTACCTCATACAGAATATAATTTTTTAAAAAGAAATAAAAATATTTAAAAAGAAGTTTGAATCACCCACGATACATAGCAATGTAAAATCTTAGGTTAGAAATTTGTCACTACACAAATCCGAGTGAATAAATTAAGTTAATGCAGAAATTAATATTTCTAAAAACAAGTCGAGACGTAAACTAAATATAACGATATCCGTTCAATCGTGTATAAATTTGAATCTGGATGTTTGCCAAACATATTATACGTACTGGCACAGTAAGAATATTATACATATGTAGGAATATGTATCGTATATCGTCGAGTAAAAGATTTATTATTGTTTATTTTCGTCAAACCACGGCAGATTTTCAGATTATACCTAAGTTTGAGTGATCACTTGATGATTGATGCCTTTATTCATAAATTGATAGGTATTCGATAACGTTGTTCAATGATGTTTATTTCATTGAGTTAACAATGGCAAAGGCAAAATTATAACGTTTCTTTTAGTTAGTTTGTAATACCCTAGCTGAACCAATAATGCGTTTCTTTTCTTTCTACATCATGACATCTCCGGTATTAGTCCAGAGAACTAGCAGAGGATAAACTATACCTATATCCTCCGGTCCCTCCAGCCGCTTGGGAATTTTCGGAATAGCAGAGACTGCAGACTGAGTACTCCGGTACCTATCTAAACTATAGGGAGAATAGTAGAGGCTGTATGAACCCGAAGCGCTCACCCAAAGTACTACCTTTTTGAAAACCGGATGAAGACTGTTTCAACAGGCTGATCTGGGGGCAGTACCTGACTGATAAGGTTGTGCGTGCACAGGTAATAGTGCCCTTCCCGTATAACCAAGAGGATGATTCCCTATCAACCTCTTGGTTATTATAAACAAAACTTAAGTGGGACTGTTCCTTGGAAGTGCATCTTTAAAAGGTCAGCCTATTCGGCTATGGACACGTGAAACAACTGGTCCATCTGATATTTTAAAGTAGTTCTAATACTTATATATGTATTTTATTTAATATATGTATTATAGCTATATAGAGTAAAATACCTTTTAAGAAATTTCATTTCTATCTTTTCTACCGAAAGAAGTCTGAAGCTTTTGTTTCACGAGGTAACATTGAGATGTAACTTTTTTGTAAATAATTGTTCCAACGAAAAGCTACCATTATGTTTGTAGGTTATATGACATTTGGGAAAAATATTTCCTAAAAAGATAAAACTGTGTAAGAACCACAAGCGACGGAAGGCTGGATTTTCCACTGGACATGCAGTTGAATTAAAATCTTGATTGTAAATTAGAACGTGCTGTTGACTTTCATTATAGTCTGTCTTTTCTGATGACGGAGTAAAGTGAAATTTGTATGGTTACCAGTTTTCATAAAATTTTAAATAGTTTTGTAGTAGCTGTCGATAGTTTCATCGATAGATTGTATAAGAAGATAAAATGTTGCCAAAAATGACGGAATTGTGAATGTTACGCGCTCCAATATTTATGGTTCTAATATTTAATAGTTAGCCTTCTTTACTCTTATTTTGACAGTTGGCCTACTGGTATCGAAATAAATGTTAATTCAAATACATTTTAACAAGAATAGCCGGATTTGATTATCTATATCGAATTAAAATGCAAAAATTTCAAATATGTCTCTTGTTTGTATTTGTCATACACACAGTTCTAAATACAGTGTATGTATGTATTAACTTACAAAAATTGACAATTCAAATGAACTTGTGCCCGGTAATTGGATCAATAATGAGTCGAGGATGATTCAAATGAAACAAGTTTAACTATTTTATTCCATAAGTGTGAAAAATATGCAGTCGATAATCGATAGAATGTTTAACGACTGCAATCACTAGCTGCTCGCAAGCGGGCAACACTTTTGCGCAATGGACTGTCATCTTACTCCGTCTTGAAAAAAGACAAACTATAGTTGTAACTGGTAATAAATAAATCTAAAGCTCACCAGTGTCGCCGACAGCTTGACTGAGCGTGTTTTCCGTGACGGGTCGCAGGGCCTCGACGGCGCTGATGTACCCCAACCGGTCGGCGATCGCGCACGCCGTCTGCCCGTTCTGTTTACATTAGTACTGGGTACAATCACGTGCATTAATATTTAACTAAATTATAATTAATACAATCGATAATGTTTGTTGAAATTCTTGCCCACATTTGTGGGCTACATTTTGGGAAATTATTTAACAATATGAATTTCGTTATAATACACGTGATTGTATGATAAATGGTAATATTGTAAACATGTACATGTTATAAAAAATAGCGACTCAACCGCGACTTTTTTGATGTTGAATTTGTGTAACTTATTATAGTACAGTACAGTACAACTATTTTCTTAACATCTCTCTGCAATCTTCGAGTTTCGGTTGTCGTATCTGTCAGTAGCCCTTTGCATTTGGTGAAGACCGGATGCACTTAATCGAATTGGAAGTGTACAGAATAGCTCGTAAGTACTATTTATTTTAAGTTAAATATATTAAAATATAGGAGTAAATGTTATCACGAAAAGGAAAATAGTTTGACAGCTAATAACTAAAGTTTGTTTCAATCCATATTGAACAAAAAGTAAATAAAACTGCCTGGTTAAAATTCTAAAGTAATTACTGAATAAATCGAATAAGTAACTCTTTCACGTATATTTCGAAGATTTCGGCTTGATATCTTATCGTATTAAAAAAATGGTAGTTGAAAAGTGAGCTTATTTTTCAACTATACCACTATGACTTGTCTATGGTCGCAGTGTTGTACGAAAAACAACATTCGGTTCATTCAATTAAAGTTTTTGTAATCGATTAGCAAATTTAGTAAATCGAATATTTCAATCGCCATCGAACTAGTATCTAAGTGTAAGGCTTTGAAGGAGGTTTTAAAATTAAGAATTAGGAAATATTAAATATGCTTAAATAGGTAGGTTATGCAAGGAAAACCGCTAGTATGACTCAATTGAACAAATCGATTTATTCAATTAATTAATCGATTTGTAGTTGGTATTACAATTGGTCATCACTAAACCGACAATGGTCGGGTCAGTGACTACTTTGTTTACTTTTTGTTCAAAATAGATTGCAAGGAAGTATACCTCTGTGGCCGAATGGTTACCATGCTGGACTACCACGCAGAGGTCCCGGGTTCGAGTCCGGGGCCGTGAGAAATATTTGTATGGCCTACAGTTATTTCGTTCGTGACTTTGGGTGTAAGTAGTTGCCTATGTGTGTCTCCATAGCACCCGTGATACAGGGTTTCTCTAGAGCGGGGCAATGAGTGTGTGCGTTATTATTATCAGCTTTATACAGTTTACCAGGAAATCAAAACAAAAAGTACATTATTCCGAATGCAAATGATTATCGATAATAAAAAAATCTAAAAACTTTTTATTTACTACACTATTTTTACTTTACTCTTTTTTTATTGTACTACTGTGTTTTTTATTAATTGTACTACTTTTAATATTACTTTACTTTATCACCTTGAACATTGCCAATAGTTATACTGTACAACTTTTTTATATATCGCTCGGCAATCTTCGGAATTCCGAATGAACCCGAATACAAATTTCCATGTCTTGTAATTATTACATGTCTCATCTATATTATCATTTGAATTCAGAACTACGCACTTTACTGTTGTCTTTTTTTATGTCCATATGAAATATTGAACAACTTGTGATATGAATATGATTTTAAATACCTAGGTGTAACTCATTTTTAACGTAATTGTCGCTTAGCCTTTTTGAACTTTCCACACTCCATATTATACACGTATTATAAATATAACAATATTTAGCATTTTTAATTGTAAAAATCCATGTATACAAGTTCTAGTATAACATGCAACGGTTTGTCTCGTCTCTGTCTAAATTCTTAATAATTTTAGATATATCTAAAACTATTGCTACTTGCGCAAGCAATTTTTCAGAACATTTTTCTATGAACATTCTTGTGTGTTAAAATTAAACCGTGGCATAAAATGCTGACTGTTACTTACAGCTGATAAAGCGTTGGGATCGGAGTTGTTCTTGAGAAGTAGTTGTATGATCAGCGTGTGGCCTTGTTGCGCAGCCTGATGGAGAGGGGTGAAACTGAAACAAGAGAAAATCTATCGTCAATTCGTCAGCTAAGTTTGCACATTTATGTAAAATTCGCCTTTAAAGTTCAGTAGATAAAGAGCAGTTTGATAGTCCTTACCCGTGTGCAGCCCGCGAGGTGACGTCAGCGTCGGCTTCGATCAGTGTCTTGGCAGCCGCGTGGTGCCCGTGGTGTGCCGCAGCGTGCAGTGGGGTGTATCCATCGCGAGTACGTGCGTTGCACTGTCCGCCGGCGGTGAGAAGAGTCTTAAGAACAGCTGTACGTCCTTCAGAGGCTGCTAGGTGCACGGGGGTTAGACCTGGAGAGATTTTTTATTGTATACAAACTTGCATTTCAAATATCTTGGTAGTGTCATCACAGAAGATTCCAAATGTACCACTGACATAAAGACTAGAATCGCAATAGCAAAGCAGGCTTTCCATAATAAAGAACATATTTTCACCTCTAAAATACCTATACAATTGAAAAAAAAGATTGAATCTTTTTGAAAAAACCTATGTCTGGACTACCACACTGACTGTATGGATGCGAGACATGGACAATAACAAACAAAGACAGAGAGAAATTGGAGCCATTTGAAATGTGGTGCTGGAGGCGAATGGAAAAAATAAAATGGTTTGAAAAAACGTCAAATGAGGAAGTTTTGGAAAGGGTTGGGGAGGAGAGAAGTCTTTTGAATGCAATAGAGAGGAGAAGGGGGAAAATGTTTGGACATTTGTTGCGTAATAACGAATTTGTGAGAGTGATAATTGAGGGGAGGATAGAAGGGAAAAGAAAAAGAGGAAGACCAAGAATGGCGTACAGTGAACACATAAAAAAGAAGATCAAAGTGAACAGCTATAAAGAGGTCAAAGGACTAGCTAAGAACAGTGAAGAGTGGAGGAGGCTACGCCGAAAAGAAGTCTTATAAGATAATGACAAACTGGCAAACAGTCACACGGTTCACCTGATTCAAAGTGGTTACTGCTCCATATAGATAGACATTTACAATACTAAAGATACATCACAAATATTACAAATGAATTGCCGTCAGTGAGACAATTTTTTGTCTGTGATTGCGCTGATTCTCCTACCTTTTCGGAGCTATAGGTTCGTGGTAGAAATATGTGCTGGATGGTTTTTTAACAGTAGAAATCATTGGAATAATGTTATTCGATCCTCAAAGATATGATTGATCTATTGTAAATGTGCACTTTTTTAAATAAACGATATTTTTTTGTATTTTATATATACATCGAGTACTAGTTATATGCTCGATGGATACATATATTCACTGTTCCGTCTATATTAGTTGATCTACGGATAAATTATAAATGAACTCCATTCAGGTTATCACTACCATAATGTTAAATTGTACTAACTTAATATTTGATAGTCAAAAATATTATTTGATCCTCTTTTTTCGTATAGGTCAAATCTCGGTTGCGCCCTCCATCCAGTAGGTTAGGTTAGGTTAGTATATGAAAAAGCAGTACGAGCCGAGCGAGCGAAGTGAGCATGTCGCGGCAGCGGCCGGCGAGTGCCACAGGCAAATTTGCCTGCGTTTCCGAACACAGTGTCAGGTTTTTAATGCTCATTTGTCTTAGTTTTGAGGCTCAACATGAAACTATCAAAGTTAATTTATAGAAATCAAACATTAGCTCAGAACAGGTTTCAAAACACATATTGATTTAATGTATTTTATGTCTCAGAGAAAAATGTTCAATCGTTAACAAAGATGACCGTGTAGATTTTTTTGCCTACTGCTTTTGCAAATTCAAAACAATCATTTAAATACATGCCGAAATCATTTATAATTTTCGAAAATATACGAACAATAAAGTGGTGATGTAGTTATAGCTGATAGTCATATTGTAAGTTTGTAAGTAGGACAACACTAAGGTGACCCATTGATAGACTACAATAGTTGAGACAGTCTATTAGAAGCGCGAGAAAGAGAAAACAGATACATGTTGTCAATAAGAACTTTTTCTACCCAGCAGCCTAGCTAAAAAATATTTATGAAACAATATTGTGCCGTTCGAATATTTTAATACAGACCGTTGTTGGCTGGCACGTTGACGTCAGCGCCTCGGTCAATCAGCATCTCTACACAATCCTCGTGGCCTTCCTGTGCTGCCATGTGCAAGGGTGTGAAGCCTGCCTTCGATTTTACACCAGGGTCGGCATCTGGAACACAAGCATTGGCGGTTAAATACTCTATTGAAATTTTGAATTTTTTATTATGCAGTTTGAAGTGCGCAGCATTTAGAAAATGTAACAAATAACGTACCAGAGTTAGCAACTATTTCTTTCTCTCTCCTTCATATTTCTCCATCGTCTATAATAAGATTCCCGTTGATATTCAAAATTTGTGATTTACGCGGTTTAAAACTATAGTGAAACAATTATTTATACTAAAGGTTGTTAATACAGCGTCTGCGTACTTGGATGACAAAAATCAGTGGTAGTGACTCGTTTACCTCTTGCAGGAGTCTAGATCTATGATGTTTGAAATAAATAATGTAAGTGATAAATGTGTGCAAATATTTATTTACAGAGAACAACACCCAGAGTTTCTTGCTCATTCTTCTAAGAGGAATCTGCCTTACGAATGAGCTGTAGAGTTTGATCAATATATATCATATAAAGTAATATATGTAACCAAGCAAGCAAGTAGATAAGCATCTATTGTAATATACATATATTACAATAGATGCTTATCTCTACCTTATAAAGTAAACTCTGGTGTAGGTCAAGGTAGTCGCCTTGGACCACTCCTGTTTTTAATTGTAATAAATGATTTGCCACTGACTAGCCGTCACAGCAAGTGTCTCATTTTCGCAGATAACGTTAAATTGGCCAGGACAATTAAGTCTGATGCAGGTTGTGTGCTCTTGCAAAGGGACATTGATAACGTGAACAGGTGGGGAAGGGATAGTAGTTTACAGTTGAATGTTGAGAAACGTACAGTTGTGTCTTTTTCTCGTGCTCGCAAACAGGTAACCAGTAATTATAAAATAAATATTACTCGGATTAGTCGAGCTAAATCAGTCAAAGACATAGGCACATGGTTCGACACTGAGTTCACTTTCCGAGATCATATCACAAAAATTTGTAATCTTCCCGCAAGTGTCTTGGTTTCGTCTTAAGACAATCAAAGTCGTTAAAAACCAACCTCACGTCGTATCTTTTGTATAACTCTTTTGTTCGGAGCACATTGGAATGTAACGCTATCATTTAAAAACCCCGTCCATCATAACCACACACAAACATTAGAGAAAATTCACAAGTAATTTGCTCGAAACTTATACAAGAAGATGTAAGGTTATTACCCCTTACTTTATCCCACAGCATTTATTTTAGGCATGGTAAATTATAGAATGCTAGAAGTGAGACGCAATCTGGCTCTGGTAACTTGTGTGTTTCGTCTGATACGGGGAATAATATACAACCCATTTTTGTTGTCCAAGGTAGGTTTTATGGTTTCTTAGAACTAATCTGGTGCGACTTCATAGAATGAGGTTATTTGCAGTACCTACCACACGATGTAGAGTGAATGAGATGACCCCCCTGCCCCGAGCACTTAGGTATCGAAATCAGTTGCTTAACTTTGACTCCTCATTGGACCTTTTTGCATGCTTAGAAACAAAATTCATATTTTCCGCAGGACGCTATCTGGAGTCCTTGACCGGAGACAGCAATATTAAGTGTTAGTTTAAAATGTAATAACAAATGGATTTTATCTTTTTTTGTCATTAATGTTAATCTGTAATAATTTATTGTTTAAGGTATTGTATTTATAATTTTATCAATTTTCATATTTTATTAACTTTTGTAATTGACTTAAGATTGATTGTTCATTTAGCTTTAAGTCTTACTATTGCGTTTGGGTGGACTGTAAGCAATATGTAATAAATAAATAAATAAATAAATAAAGATTATTTGAATTTGATGTATGTTCAATCGTCGTATAAAGTTGCTTACCATGTTCGAGTAGTGCAAAGGCGATATCCGGGTGGTTGTGCCTACAGGCGATGTGCAGAGCAGAGTGTCCATTCTTCGCCAGCGAGTGTGGTGATGCGCCTGTGTAATAGACTCTAGCTTATATACACTAGCATGTATTCGTAAACCCACGCTATAAGCAACTGCTTACGACATAGTTTTGTGTAAGTGTTAAAGGCATGCTTATTAAGTAGAAAACACGCACATGAAGTATCATAATTATTATTGTTCACGTAACATGTAGGATTTTTTGTGTAAAACTAGCGATAGGATGACCACTATGTACCTGCACGCTATGATGGCCGTTTTGACGTTTGCCTGCTCATCAAGTTTTGTATTAATTCATAACTACGTTGAAGGAGCTAATTGATATACATTGTTCTCAATAGTGAAGTGCAGTAAAATTTATGGTTGTATAATTTTAAGACACAACTCGGCTTTTATTTTTCGAAATTCGAAATTTAAAAAAATTAAAAATACGATAGTCACGGGATCGCTGGCCAGCACAACTTCTTTCTACCTCCGGCAAACTCGCGTCAAAGCTCAATGTAAAACAAAGCAGTTTCGAATTGACGATATATTAAGTAAACATTTTTATTTCCGTTTTATTAAAACTTTTTAATCAGCTGCCCCTTGCAATACTAGTTATAAATCTAAAAACTTACAGAAAAAATATAATCAAACCGAAACCGAACCGAAAAAATATAATCAAATGCGAGTCATGCGACTCGCATTTGATTATATTTTTTCGGTAATGAATTGAGATTTGACCTCACTATTGTATCGAGTTCTTAGGTTTTCGCGATTGTTACTACATAAGGAAATGAAACAATTTTTCCGGATTTAAATCGCGTATATTTGTTTTTTCAAACAAACCGACGTTTCGGGCCCTTTACAGGTCCCATGATCACGGTTGACTCATTATTGTAATTTGTTAAAACGGCCATCATAGCGTGCCGGTCCGGTACTGTAGATAATGATACATGTATAGGTTCTGGAGGTTCGATATTCAACGAGAGGTCAGATGAACTACTAAGTCATTGTCAGTTATAATAACGGTGACGAAACTGTGTTTAAAAACTTGCGAAATCCCCAACCAGCATTGGGCTAGTGTGGTAGACTTACGACCTTAAGTCCTCTCCTCAGAACAGTGGGATATAAGTGACGATTGTTAGCAAAAGCTGTGTAATCGGTTATTTTATTTGAAATGCTTATTGCTGCTTGCAATAACTATCAGATTTAAGGAATAGATTACCGATTCGATTTGGGTTAGTTGACTTTGACTTCATTTAAAAAAACCACTTCACTTTTTATTTTTATGGCTCCATCATTATGAGAAATGATGATTTTACCAATGTCACGGTTGAAAGAAAAAAAACGAAACAAAAAAAAACATTTTTCCGGATATTTTTCCTTTCATTTTCCACATTGACAACTTTTGGCAGGTGTCAATGCCAAAAGTTGAAGTTACTGAACGAAAACGATGGAGCCAACAAGAAGTGGTGGTGGTGTGTTGTTGGAGGTTTTTTCGATGTTGTGAAATCATTTTAATTTATATAATTAAAATGATTTCACAACATATATATAATATAATTTGTTTATGTGGCTTTTAGCTATACTTACAAGTTTATTGTAAATGAAACTTCAAAAGATATTTGTAAACGTAGAACATAATATGAGCCTTCCAAATTATATTTTTAAAATTTTTCTAATTTTGGAAAAAAGAAACAATCTGGCAGCACTAAAGGATATTGGTGGAAAAAGATTAGAGATGAAAGTGAATTAACGAGCGAAACGTTACTTTCCTGAAAGGAAGTATTATTTTAGGGGTTTTAAGGGCACTTAATATGTGTTATAGGTATATTGTTTCATGTATGCTTATACGATGATGTTACTAAGCTTAATGTTTGATTGGGCACAGTTAAAAAAAATGCTTTGGTCTGACTGATCCAATCAGTTATTATTAATAATAATGTGCCACACAGCCACACCTCACTTGGTCTCAATCTAGAGGATTCCCTGTATTTTGAGTACCAGAACCAGGGAATTAAGTCCGAGGCACTATTCAGAGGACACAGACTAGAATGAATTTAGAAACGTTTTTTCCGGGAAACGAAGTCCCACTTCGGCCGGGCCGACGGGCCTCTTCATTTACCGACTACAGTGCAAACTGTTGGGTCACAATTTCTATACAATCTATGATTTTGCAAATAAATTAAGTAATTGTAAAAAGTAAGTGGTAAGTTATAATATCCGTTCCTACTAATATATAACAATAATCAAATTGGTCTACGAGCGGCATGAGCGTCACTTTGTGAAATTACCTTTATCAAGCAATAACAGAGCAATATCCGGGTGTCCGTAGTATGTAGCCATGTGCAACGGCGTAATGTGACTCCTTCCTGGCGCATCAGGCTGAGCTCCCCTGGCCAATAACAGTCGTGCTACCCCCACAGCGCCATATTTGGCCGCCAAGTGGAGAGGGGTAAAGCCTTTCCGCGTCTCCGCTTCGATTGGTGCGTTGTTATCTAGGAGGATAGCGGCTACTTCTTCTTTGCCTGGAAAGTATATTTATAAAATTTTAGTACTCTTAGGTCAAAGACTCGAAATTGTAATATACATATTCAATTTAAACGCTAATTCAAAATGCTATTATTCTATAAAAGATATTCTTATACACAAATTCGAATAGGTATGCGTGAGTTCAAGTAATATACAGAGTGTTTATTTTAAATGGGACAATATGGGGAAATCCAAAACCATGGATGATACGAGGAAACTGTCTTAGAACTTAATGGATATTAAGTCTTTTTTGTGAAAACAATTTTGGCATAGTCAATTTTTTGGTCAAGCGCGAATTGTCCTTAAAAATATATAAAATTGATAAATTATTTTTTTTAGTGCAGATCGACTTTTTTTGGTTTGATTGTATGGGATGAAAAAATCAGAACAGCAAAAGTGGTCAAATTTAAAAAAATATTTTTTTTATACGAAATTAATAAAATGGTCATTTTTTAATGCTAATAGACTCACTTTCTTATAAGGATAAATTAATTTTATCGGAAGAAATAAAAAAGACAACAGAAGTTGGCCAAATTTAATAAATAGTTAATAATTTTACTTTGGATTATACAAGCTATGTGATAATAACATTATACTTTATATCAAGAGTTAATTTTATAAATTTCAATTAAATTTTTTTAATGAAAATTTATATATTAAATGTATAATATAAAGTTGCGTACATCTTATTATTGTAATATGAGTAATCATAAGTTCTTCTGTCAAATTTTAAACATGAAGTGCTCTAACGGAGTCTATGTGAAGACTTTATATCATATGCTGGCAATGAATGTATTAATATGAATTCATTATAAAATTTTGCAGCAGACTGTATAGAAGACAAACAGAATATTTGTGATTCTGTCCCTTACAGCACCAACCAATGTGGTTTAAAGTTTGGACGAAAACATCATAACGTAGAACATGACAAAATCGAACTATGTAAATAACTTTATTCCTTGGAAATGAAACTATTCTGTTTTTCGGATCTCTGGTTCTCTCTATGTTGGTGTCTACGGTTGATTCAACCGGCGCTTGTTTTTTAATTTTATCTGATTTTGTTTTAACGTGAAATACTTATTTAAAAAACTGCAAATTTATTACATCTAACAATTACAATGTCTGATAGTCTACCTTCCTTGGCGGCGATGTGCAAAGGCGTGTAATGGTCTTTCGTAGCCGCAGCAACGTCCGCTCCGTGCTGTAGCAGCAGTGCTGCGATGTCTGCGTGACCCAGACGCGCCGCCACGTGCAATGGAGTTTGTTCCTCGCGTGCGCGGGCTTCCACCTGCAAACAGAGAATGTGTAAGAATGTTATTCTTTTTAAACTTAACTCTCAAAGACCCAGAGGATCAAAGATTCTATTAATAGCGGCATTACCCCAAACTAAAATGCCGCACGTGATTGAACTGTGAAATATGAATAATCACGGAGAGCTTCGCTGACCCATCTACGACGTCATTATGGCTTTGGTTTTGTTCAAAAGACGCGTTGTAACAAAGACACTCTGATAATTTTTTACGTAGCACCACTACCTAATGATGTAAGTTGAAAAAAAATGGAAAAAAACACAGCACGCTCGTTTTTTTTAAATTGTTTTTTTTTTTCAGAAAATTTAAAATAAAATGACTGTAATGATATAAGACACTCATTTTGATTATTTTTCTTTATGCTATAAATTGAAATGTTCAATTTAATTATCACTTGACACTCAACAACAACGCAGAGTTCGTTACACTTTACACTCAATGCAATGAAATTATAAACCAAACAATGATTGGGAATTTTTTTATTGGAGAATTTTCCGTTTGTAGATATAAACGTCAGTGAGTGTTACTCATTCGTTTTGAGCAATTTTTGTGACAATAATAATAACAAAAGAGGTAGAAGTGCCAAATTAAATCTGAAAAAATATAATATGCCCCTGCCATATTATTATTTTTTATATGTACCATTTGAAAAAAAACCTCCTCCAGAAAAAAATCGTTTTTTAATTTTTTTTTTTCATCTCACAAAAATACGTTTTTTACAACATTAGGCCTACCCTTAACTTCATTTCTTACCTTAGCGTTATTTCGGAGTAGCACCCTAACAAGGTCGGTCTGATGAGCCCTAGCAGCGAGATGCAAAGGTGTCTCTCCCCTCGCAGTCGCTGCGTCGGGCTCCGCCCCTGCACCGAGCAGGACCAAAGCGATGTTCATGCAGCCCATAAAAGATGCCACGTGCAGAGGAGTCAGGCCCGACTCAGTTGTAGCTGATTTGCCTGGAATTGATAATGCTTGTATCACATTGACGTGTCACAAAATGCCACAAAGTTCTATACATATGTATGACGTTGGATATCCAATACCAACAACGTCAGTTTTTATCCGACTTCAAAAAGGAGGAGGTTCTCAATTCGACTGTATTTTTTGTGTATGTTACAGCATTTTTGATGATTCTTTTTTGTTGGAAAAATTACCCTTTTTCCTCCTCAGTATTAAAATATTCCACCTCTAAGGGTGGCAAACTAGGGGATGAATCCGGTTTCGCGCACTTTCCGGTAACCGATTTCAATAAAACTTGGCAAATAGATGTAATTCTGCGAACATTTAAGGTCAGTTTTTTTTAATAAAAAGTTATGATGTGTGGTCACAATGTTTCCTACATTGTATCTGTTAATTAAACAGAATTTTTATAATTTAGTTGAATTTTTTTTCTTCTCAAAGTAGTAACAAAAAGCTCGTAAAGGGCACATGACGTAAGCACCAATCAACTAGCACCACATAAACGTGTCCATACCACATATTTGACTGTTTGGAATGTGAAATTGCATATTGCATGACTGAGCTATAGATGTCAATTTTTTATACTCACTTGCACCATATTTGAGGAGTAGTTCGACAACTTTGAGTCTATTCTTTTTGCATGCAATGTGTAGTGGGGTAAACCCGTTGAGCGCACGTGCATTTGCATCCGCGTTTCTGTCCAGCAGTAACTTTGCAACCTGCAACAAAGATAAGTCTTAAGTATTTTATTGCCCTACACATTTTGCTACAATTATTAAACTCGTGTGTCAGTTCAGATTGCAATTTTGGACTTTTCATGTAATGTCATCTGTAACCACTAACTTAGCCGCCACACGTATGACGTAAAATGTTTAAAGAAGTAGGCAAGCGAACTTTGTGAAATCGGAGCCCATGTAATGTAATAGTCGAGACTTTTAATTTTTTTTTATAATATCAAGTGACGGGACGAATAAGCCGTGAGCCTGATGGTAAGCTACATGCCTGTCTATAACAGTTGCAATGCCACTCTGAGCTTTAAATCGCAAAGATCTGAGGGGTACTGCCACTACGCTCGTCACCTTGAGTCATAAGCTGACAAGTCCCATGTGCCTGTAATTTCACTAGCACCCTTACCCTTCAAAACCGGAATGCAGTAATGCTGACATTACTGCTTGGCGGCAGAAATAGGAAAGGTGGCAGTACTACCCTAGACGAACTCTTTCACAAAGAGCTCTACTGCTACTAAAGTAAGTCGCTCTACCGTTAAATTAATAATTTTATCCAACTAGAAGTTTATCAGTGAACGGTGATAGGAAAGTGGGTGAGAGCGTGGAAACACTAGCGAATCTTCGAGATTCCACGACGTCGACACATATGGCTCAGAGGTAACCTCGGGGGGGTTTGAGTGGGTATGTATACTAAATATTTGGCTTATATTTAGCTTGGGGGTTAGAGCTTATGCACGCGGTGTATTTTATGAAACGTCGCGTTGCAAACAAGAAGCTTATATAATCCACTGGATTTTATACTTAACATTTAATTGTATTGTAGTTGCTGTGTGTGTGGGATACATACGCGCGACTACTGCGCGTCTGCGGCTCGTATACGCGCAAATGACGCGTGTTTACGGTGCCACAGAATTTGTAAACGTGTACAAAGGTTTACTCGCTGCGACTGCGTCGCGTTTGGATTGCATTTACGCGCGTCATCTGCACGTCGTCGGCGCGTATAAAATACGCCGTGTGCATAGGCTCTTAGACCCATAAAACCGGCCTAAACCCTGTCCATACAGGAGACACAGTGCCTAGCAGTGGAATTGTCGATGATGAATATTATCAAAACTGTACCTTGACATGCCCACAATGAGCGGCGACATGCAGCGCAGTGAGGTAGTCGACGGTGACGTCATCGATGGGCGCGCCCTCCGCGAGGAGTACCTTCGCCGTCTCCACGTGCTCGCCTTGCACCGACATGTGGAGAGGCGTCAGGCCGTTCTGCAAGTAGGAAGAACAGTTATTATAATATAAGACAGAAGAAAATGACAACACTTGAAAACCAAATCAAAGTCTTTTGTGATAAATGGGTGCTACTACAGTAGTACAGTGTGAGAGAATTCATAAACTCTCCTATATGATGATGTGAAAGAAGTGATGAACGTTTCAACTCTTCCATAACGTAATGTGTTTATGTTCTGTTTTTGTTAATTATTCGAGAGTACTATTAATTTGCTACACTCCAACGGGGTATGTTTGTACTTAGTAATTACCTGTATCATGCCTGTATTAAAAATATTGTCTGCAATAAATAAATAACGAATAAAGATTACAGCAATGATGTTATGTAAATAAAACTTACATACGTCATGAAAAAGGAAAGATGATTTGATATTGATAACATGAGTTGTACTTGTTAAGTTGCGCTGGATAGCGAGCGTGTTTACGCGCGAGTGAATTGTATCGGAAATTTAACAGCTCCACCTAGTGGTCACAACAAGAACTAAATTAGGGACTATGAGTACATTTATATACTTTTGATAGGTAAAAAAAACCTATCGATATATTCTATAATGAGGTCGTTTACTACGTACTACTACATTTAGTGCCATGGCGAAGTTTTTTGATAGATGTCGTCGAAAAAAACGTTAACTTATAACAGTTTCTCACTCGATGTTGGTGTACAGTAATTTTAATTCCAATAGAATTATAAAACTGTAGAAAATCGAATTTGGAAAAATCTAATAATTTTATTTGCTATAGTGACCCAGATAAAAAAAACTTATTTTTTTACTTACTAATTGTTATATTATTTATTGTGAACAAAATATCAAGCTTTTCATTGGTTGAAATAATCACTGTGCCGGTATATGAATTGTCGATTTTGCGCGCCAAAAATACGCCTTAGTATTTTTAAGCGATTTTCATTTTTTTCCGTTTTAAGCCGTAACTTACTAAAGATCATTTATATATTCGGGTTTTACTTTGCAGAAACACGCGTTAATAAAAATTGAAGAAAATTTGCTATTCCGCGGGCCCAGTTACATTACATCGTGCATAATAGCTACGCAAAATATTTTTTTCATGCGGGAAACTTAACCGCACAAAAAAAATTAAATACAAGCGCAGCATTTTTGCTCGATTTATCCTCCACAATGCATAAAGGACAATGATTAACGGTCTTCTGTCAGACATACCTTCGTTTTACTTGTAATCGGAGCACCGTGCTGCAATAGCCTCGAGACGACGTTGCTGTGTCCCGATCTAGCCGCGCAGTGGAGTGGCGTCAGCCCGTCGCGAGTTACTGCCGCAATATTCGCACCTGCAAACGTTTAATTACGATAATTGACGATGTTGTGTGACTTTAGAATCTAGATGCGTATTTTCAATTCTTAAACACAATCGGTACATATTAAAACTGGAAGCAAGAACAGACTGAAAATGATTAAGAGTCGATGCTACCTCGGCAACAATTCAAATTTTTCTCGTAGTAATACGATTCATTTCGCTTGGGTCGAGTGGCGGGGATACGGGCTTTATTTCAGAATTTATTTTTTTACCAACAAAATTAAAGCCATTTCAAAAATGTATATCGTACAGTATACATGTTCTATTTAGTTGTTGACATAAAAAAAGAAATCATTGGTATATGTAAAGTACCTATTGATTATAGGGGTTTTGTTGTCAAACTTCGAGGTAAGTTTGTGTTTTTTTTTATCGTGAAAATTTTCAGAAGTCATATTTTCACACACATTTTTTTACTATCAGTGTATATCCTCAATTATACTATACACTTTTTCCAAACTGATTGATTCAACACTTTCACTGTTATGCACAATCAACCAAAGCCATTTGAGGTAGTACAGACCCTTAAAAACAAAAAAAAATCTTTCATATGTTAGCTTCGGGGCAGTTTGGAGGCTTCAAGCCCCTCTTAAAATATAATGGTTGCCTCGGGAACTCTTATTGATTTTGACGAGAGCCCCTCAATGACACTCGAGTCGAGGCCAGACGATCCCATCTCAAATCCCGCTCATCCCATAACAACTTTGCTAAACAAACGCAGCCCTTATAGCAATACGTTGAATATAGCATGTTTGCATGCAGAATCGTTGTATCTACCAATAAATGTGAAAGTGAAAGAAATGCCTGATGTCTACAAATACGGCCCAGAAAGTATCACTCACTCGTGATAGGATTCGGTAGCGGGTTCCGAAATTTGGTTTAATCATATTTTGTTTCCAATTTGTTTCGTTTTCAATAAGAGCTTACTAATGTGAAATTATAATAAATAACTTAGAAATGTTTAATTCATATCTTTGTTACATTTCTGATATTTATTATCTATTGCAACGGTAAATTTTAAGTAGTTTAACAGTTAAGAGATGTCCCCCTTAAGTTGTTAGTCGTTTCTAAAAACGACTTTGACGGAGAATATCTTGATACTGGCGCGTTTAATATATATGAATCTATTGAGAATAACATCACACTCAATAAGGAAGTTGTATTTTTTTTGTGTTATAATGTTAAGTATTTTTTTTACTGTAGAAGAGGAGGTCTAAAAATATAAGATTGTTTAATGCAAGTATTTTTTTTGTTTATGATTTGTATCATCATCTGCATCAGTGACGGGACGAACAAGCCGTGTGCAAGGCGCCTGTCCATAACAGTAACGTGTACCTGTTTACTTTTTACAACATTTTAGTTCCGAGTTGTATATGTACGGAAAAATTTAAAAAAAAATCCAGCCATTTGCCAAATCCATAATTGTTGTGCTGTGAATCATATTTATATTGTATTTATTTCCTCGCAAATGTGATGAAAAACATTGTATGTATCACAGACGGTAAAAAAATACAAAACTCTAGTTATTAAAGCCCTGAACCCTGAGCTTCGGGCTTCTAATAGGCACTCGTTAGTACTTTCTTATTTACAGTCCTTAATACCACAATGTACTATTTTACAATCGTTTTATCCTGTATAAGCAAATTCAACTTGTTACTCACCATTTTCGACAAGTAAGTCGACCATAGCCAGTTGCCCCCACTTGCTAGCGACATGCAGTGGCGTGATGTTGTGCTTAGCTGCCCGCCCTGAGTCCGCACCGGCGGCCAAGAGTGCTTTCGCCACTCCCACATTGCCGTAATGTGCGGCGATGTGGAGTGGTGTAAACCCCGACTTCGAGCAAGCATCGGGGTTATGTTCGTTCTGAAAAATAAAAGAAGTAATGATTTTTTTAACTTTATTTATTTAGGATATTAGAAAAGGGTTAGGGAAGAAAATCTTTTGAATACAATAGAGAACAGAAGGGGAAATAATGTCAGTGCAGAGTACTAAAACACCGACTTCAAGTGTTCGCGGTATTACAGCTATCTGCTTCCGAAACCGGCTTCGTCTCCACGTTTGCCACCGTTAGAGGTGGAATATATTGTTCAAATTTAAATGGGACCAATACTGAGGTATTCTTTCTCCAACAAAAAAAAAAATCCTCAAAATTGGTTCACAAATTATCACGTAACATTGATACAAAAAAAGTCAAATTGAGAACCTCCTCCTTTTTTGAAGTCGGTTAAAAAGTTTGGACATTAGTTACGTAATGACGAATTTGTGAGACTAATAATTGAGGTGAAGATAGAAAGGAAAAGAATAGTGAACAAATAAAGAAGAAGATCAAAGCAAACAGCTGTAGAGAGGTCAAGGAGCTGGCTATGAAACGTGAGGAGTGAAGGAGGCCACACCAGCAAGAGCTCGCCTGCGACAAGAGCGACCTGGTTCTTATTCAATAGTCATGCCAGCTTTATTAGAAAAAAATACACTAGGTAAACATGTAATACAGTCCAATCAGATAAAATACTACCTAACGAAACATGTATAGAAGGTTTTCGCAGCGCTACTTGCTGGATCAGACAAAATAGATTAGAATCATCCAACATTAAATGTGCCAAATTATGATAGGATTTAAAAATACTTTTAGCAATGCGATAACGTCACAACTCTAAATTCTGATTCCATTACGATTGATCGGTTTAGTGAAAGCATTGTTATGCCTGGTTGAATGGAAGATCAGGTTGTTTCCATAGCTTTACCTCATTTTTTTGGTGCTTGGATACAAATCCTTTGAGCCATGTCTTCATTTCATTATTGGGATCTTCACTATTTAAATATCTTCTATTGTGTTTTTAACGTATTTATAAAATGGCCAAAAAAACTTTGAGGTTTTTAGGTCTGTTCAGCGGCGGGAGACATTATTTATGTTTTCATTTTCTCTTACGTAACTTAATATACCCATAGCTTACCTCTAATAAGAGCGTAGCAGCCTTAACATCGTTCTTTTTAGCAGCAATGTGCAGTGCGGGCAGTCGTACTTTGCCACGTGTGTCAGATTCCAGTAGTTCGGCGACCACGCGGTCATGCCCTTGTTGCATCGCCACTGCCAAAGGCGTGAAACCGTCCTGTAATTCAGACAAGAAAAAAAAATATTTTGTAAACTCGTAGGGTCTGCTGGTTTGTGCCGTAGCTCAATAGGGAAAGCATCAGTCACGGTATGCTGAAGACGCAGTAAACCATCATGGCAGTAAACCATCTTAAAACTATTTCTACGCCTGTACTTAAATCTACCATTTCATAAATCTATCAACTGTAATTTCATAAACCATGTGAATGCGCTGTTTTCTGAACCAAAATTCTATTGCCTATAGTACTCGCTACTGAACTAAAAAATTTCATTATACGAGTAGTTCTGTATAGAACTATAATGAAATGAGTTTCAAAAAACGAACGTCGTATTTTTGTTAATTGAGGGTCGTATTCCAGAACTCTACTCAATGCTCAAGTCAGAACTTGAGTATGATTTCAAGCACTAGAAATACGACCCTAATGGCAAGGACTTTAGTATGATTTCTAGTGCTTGAAATCATACTACAAGAAACGTATTTACTGAGATTTTTTGTGAAATAACTCCACTAGTTTGTTATGATTATGAATACAGATAGGAGAATTTCGGTAACTGGACCCGTAGTTCAATTGGTAAAAAGCAATGCTACGGTGCAGCATGGACATGGGTTCAAGTCCCACCGAGTCGACGAAAATTTTGTGTGTTTGATCTTTGTATTCATAATCATAAAAGAGTCTCCTTAAATGCGTCACTGTGTTCCTGAACTGAATAATGTCACTATATTCATATGAAAATTATTAAAATTCAAATTATTTTTTTAAATAATGTCTCTAAATGTTACAATTTGGCAAAAAAAACTGTTTAAAAACAATATAAATAAAATATTATTTAAATATTGGGTGTGGTTCATAATTTTAATTTACTCGTAGAAAAAATATTGTATGCAATCATTACATCATTAGGTCTTAAAATCTCGTACCTATTATTATGCAACGATTCCATAAAATAATAACAATAATAACGCACACACTCATAGCCCCGCACGAGTGAAATCCTGTAAAGCAGGTGCCATGGACACAACATATACAACCACAAATTACACCCAAACTCACGAGAGAAATAAATTTAGGCTATACAAATATTTCTCCCGGGACGGGAATCGAACCCGGGACCTCTGCGTGGCATGGTAACCGTCCTGCGCCTGAGGCAGTTGAAAATACTATAATATTACAATATTTTGTACTTAAATTTTAGCAAGGAATAAGGTAAAAATAACTTCATAGATGGCGCTACGACTAAAAAGTCGTTGAAAGACCAAGTACAAAGACACGACGCAAGCACATAGAAAAATTCGTGAGGTCCGTTGGTTCGTTCCGTGGCTTAGTTGGTATAGCGTCTGGCACGGTATGCAAGAAGACGTCGGTTCGAATACGACCGGATCGAAGGAATTTTTTCTGAGTGTTTTTTCTAAGTGTTCTATCTTTGTATTAATAATTATAACAAACTAGTGGAGTAATTTCACAAAAAATAATTGAATATCAATTCAATAAAAATTTAATTAACTTCTTAAGTTTCTAAAGATCACTCGGTTTGTCTACATTTTTGTTTTGTGCAAATAAGTAAATAATGTATCCTTGTGAAAGAATTCGTCTAACCTTACCTATTTCGGCCGCCAAGCAGTAATGTCAGCCTTGTAAGGGTGCTGGTGAAATTACATGCACATGGGAGTTGTCAACTTATGTCTCAGGGTGACAGGCGCAATGGTATTGCCCTCAGATCTTTGCGATTTAAAGTTCTGAATGGCGTTATGGACAGGCGTGTAGCTTACCATCAAGTGTACGACTTGTTCGTCCCGTCACTTGATATTATAAATGAAGAAAAAAAAAAAGAAAAAGTGTTTCTAAATCGGTTTGGCCTTGATATAGAGCCCAGCAGCAAGTTGTTAGTTGTACGACAGTATGTTCTACACATCTAATGTCAATTCTGAGGAGAAAAATACATCATTCTCACCTCTGTGGCAAGTGTTTGGCTTGCCCCAGCGGCCAGTAACATCTTGACGCATCCGGCGTGGTTTTCCTGCGCTGCCATGTAGAGCGGGGTGAACCCGGCCGCGGACTGCGCGTCGGCCTTCGCCCCCGCCGCTAGCAGCGCCTGAGCCACGGATTCTTGGCCCGCTAGACATGCTATGTGGAGTGCTGTGTTGCCTATAACATATACAAAACATAATCATTACAACAAAGCAGATTAAAATAGGGGAAGGTGGTAAGTTCGGGGTATGTGATGGCCATGGAGTAACATGGTGAATAAAATTCTTAGCTCCGAATGTGTAACATTAGCCTCTCTATTACCGTTATAAAAGGAACAATTTGCTTAATTTAAATTTTATGTTTTTTTTAAATATAATCTGCCAGACAATCACACCAATTAAAAAGAGAGAGAATCGGTCAATATTATTGTGAGAACAGGTATGCGCTTCGCGTTGAGTTTTCAGCGAAGACTCACTTTACAACACACATAAAAAAAAATTATTTATTCTCAATTGTACCTTATATTCAATTAAATTTAATGTAATGTAATTGTTAAATAATCAATTCCTTATTATTTATTTGTTAATGTAAAGTAATGTTTAGTGTAAGTTTGACTGTCTCCGTAGCCGAACGGGTACCACGCCGGACTGCCACGCAGAGGTCCCAGGTTCGATTCCCGCGCCGGGAGAAATATTTGTATGGCCTACATTTATTTCTCTCGTGAGTTTGGGTGTAATTTGTGGTTGTCTATGTATGTGTCCATAGCACCCGCGACACAGGGATTCCCTAGTGCGGGGCGGTGTTTGAGTGTGTGCGTTGTTATTATTATTATTATAAATGTTAAATTATTAATGGATTTATACTATAATGGTTTATACCTAAATAAAGAAACATTTTGTTTATTTAATTACCTCTTCTCAAATTATCATCCGTGTTAGACCAACGAAATTCACTCCGGAGTACTTACTACCCAAAACATCCAGAAGAGAATAAATTTAGAAAAGGTTATTTTCAAAATTGGTCCAACCGGGAATCAATACTGCGAACAATTCAGCGGTGCTTACCGCTAAATCACCGAGGTCGTTTTAATAAGGGTAATTAATTTTTCCCAAATTTGTTTATTAGAACGTTTTGGTTTTGTTACCTTTTTTAGTGGCGGCGTCGACTATTGCGCCTCGCTTGAGTAGCTCCTCAACCACGGTGATGTGGCCATCTTTAGCTGCCAAGTGCAGGGCATTCAGGCCATTCTGAAACGTCATATTAGGCATATAAAGTTTATCCTCTCGTATTGTGATCAAAGAGTTTCTATATAACACAGAATTCAATTTGGAAGGCAAAAAACTTAGCGGATTTTTTTTAAATATCTGCATTGAACTTGTTTGAAGGATTCAATTATAAAACTAATGAAGAACCACGCCACTAAATTCAATAACAAATGGACTTAAACTTTAAAAGATACGTGCGCATTGTTGTTTCAAAGCAAGAAATTTAATTACCAGCACTTTAAACTGCGTCGCTTTGTAATAAAGAGCTTAGTTTCTCGATATTTTGCTGCTTGTGGCCAAGTGGCCGGTGGCGTCGAGTATGCATTCTGATCGTGTATTTTTTAGGGCCTGAATTGATGCCGGTATCTTTTAAGCACCTTATACGTAACGGCTCTCGCCTTCTTTTCATAGAACATTCGTATTACATGACCGTTCCTGTCCCATTTGGCCTAAGTAGCCGTGCATATGCAAAACGCAGGACCACGATTGAGGTCGCTGAAGGACCAGGACGCTTGCATGTTTGAACTTACTACCAGATTCAGACCTAAAAAGTGTAAGATACTACCTATAACAACAACTTAAAAGTTTATTTTTGGTAAATTTATTATGTTTCTTAAAAAGACGAGGAACAAAAGTTATTGTTGATGATGTTACTAACATAGTCTTGCGAGGTTGTTGGTCTTTTACAAATAACCGTGCACATATTTTTGATTTTTTGCAATTAGGTCATCGTTATAACTATAGTCCATGCGCCGAGCAGATCAAATTTGTATTTTATAGTCTATTGTTATTTTTTTTTTAAATATTGGCAAAATAATACTTAATAAAATTGATCCTAAAAATTATTCTATTGCAAAAAGTATTTTGCTATCTAGTTTTTCTATTTTCGCAACAGCACTGCGAGTAGGGCAATGTAAAAGGATCCTAATGGCTATAGGCGGTAGAGCGGAACGGGCCAGCCCGAAGGCCGCTCTATAATTAATACTATGTTGATATTATTATTTCATATAAAGTTGACTTTATGCGAATAGGGTCCACGATATTATAAAACTTTTAATCGTGATGTTATTTGGTTGTGATGTGTGGTTGGTAAATGAACCCTTATGTTCGAAATTGAATTTAAAATTTACCATGAGCTTTTCGGTGATGGATACCATTGTGTTGAAGCCGCACGTCGAAGAAAGTTCACAATCCTCGGAAAAAGTGTGAAGTCCCCAATCCGCATTGAATCAACGTGGCGGACTATGGCCTAACCCACGGAAGAAAAAAAAAAGCATTGGAAGTACCAAAAGCCTCGATTGCTATCAGAACCGCTGTCGCCAAAACGCACACAAACAAATGATACACACTACGAGGTCTAGATAATGATTGGTCATAGTTTCTAATTTAAAAATATGTAACAAATTCTGGATTGTTAATATAATTTAAACTTTACCTAGTCGCTATATAGTTGAAAGTTCAAAACCTTTATTGCAAGTTACGACGTTTTGATTTTACATTGAAATTTTATTCTACGTGCTGCCATCTTGTGACCAGTAGCTGGACTACGACCAACGATTTACATCTGAATCAATTCGATAAACAGAAAATGGAACACTTGTTAAAATAAAACTTACCGATAATATGAATTACTACTACATGTAATATTTTTGGAGTGGCTATCATTTTTGCACTCCAAAACAGCACAATAAGGCATTTTTCTGCGAATTTTAGAGAATTCGCGCGAAAGAATGACACAACCATACCATACAAAGCGAAAATGGCGGACTGAGGTCAAGTACGTCTTTGGAGAGCTAATGTTGGCACGCGTCAGACACTAGTTAACCACTTCTACTGTATTTATTGTAGTGTGGGCCAAACCCTCGCCTGGGAGGAGACCCGTGCCCCCCCAGCAGTGGGACTTATAAATGGGTTAATGATGATGATGGTTCGATGATTTGGATAGAATTTAGGGGCTAAATACAGTCATGTCTCACGCTAGGCGCAAATGGGTAAAGAACTCTTGTCGACGTGAGAATTGATCACCTGCATGCGCACCGGCAGCACAGCAGGTACATAAGGCCGTTTATATTGGTTCGGTCACACTCACGTAGCGTCCGCAAATTTCTATCACGCACAATAGGACTGTAATTATGTTGCAAATCACATTTACGATATTGTGATAACAAAATATTACAGACTTTATTGGACTGAGAATGGATGAAATAAATTCTTATTATTATTGTTTTATTTAGGATTTTCCTATTTTTAACAGACTTTGAAAAAAGGAGGAGGTTTTCAATTCGACTGTATTATGTTTTTTTTAATCTATGTTACGCGATACTCGGCATTTGTGAATCGATTTTAATGATATTATTTTTATTTTATTTATTTTTTTGTTGGAAAGAGAGTACCTCAGTAGTGGTCTCATTTAAATTTGAAGAAAATATTCCACTCTAAGGGTGGCAAACTAGGGGATGAATGACTTATGTGGTAGGTTTTTTAGCATTTAGCCACGTAAAGGTTTTAAGATCTATACACGTAAAGGTTGGTTACATGATCCTCTTTAGCACGGAGGTTTGGAGGTATCTACAATTTTCATGAAATACGTTATATCAATAATATAATCTAAGTAGATTCAGATTTTAATGTTCCATGTTGTGATGTGACGGGGACAAGGGACAGGGTTATATTGATATGGACACGGCGAATGATCTAGTAAAGTTCGGACTTAAAATCATTCGACCCGTGTACCCGACCGACTGTCAGGAGCATTCGGTATCGGCAACTTGGATTCGAATTAAGCGAATGATTTGTCCCTTCGAGTCATCATCAACGGTCTATCGGTCCACAGCTGGACATAGACCTCTCGCAATGCGCGTCATTTCGCCCGGTCCTCAGCTCGTTGCATCCATCACCTGCCAGCAGACCTTCGCAAATCGTCACTCCATCTGGCCATACACTCGGGGCGTCCTACACTACGTATGGCGAGCCGTGATCTCCACTCAAGAACTCGCTTCCCCCACCGGTTATCGGTTCTTCGACAGATATGTCCCTTCGAATGATTAGTATTAATAGCATTCAAAGTCGCGCATGACAGGACCGATCGTCGAGGAAATCGTTGGGGGAGGCCTATGCCCAGCAGTGGGCGTCATATGGCTGAATGATGAACGTCGCGCATCGTTAACTCGTTGTAAAAAAATGAAATTGCTGAGTATTAGTTCAATACTTACAACAGCAACGCTTACAACTTACATTTATAAGAGTGTTATGAAAAAGCCTTTCTTAAAGTACATTTCGTTTAAAAGTCCATCTCTATCCTAATATCTTTTCAATCTTTACTTTTATAGAGTAACACTTGACAATCTTCTACTTGAGCCGCTTGTGGGTTAGGCATACAAAATGCATATAAAACACCTTGCGCGTTTGATATAACAACGCGTTTAGAATGCTGATGGGACTGTCTAGCAGGTGTAGTGTAGGTTTCCAGGCCGTCATGCGGAAAAAGATTGTCTCGCTATTGAGTCGTGCGAGGCGAAATCCCAACAGCATTCTAAATACTATTGCAAGGAGATTCGATTGTCCTATTTAAACTTTTAGATTATTAGATCATAGCACAATTTGTTAGATAGGTTGTAGTGTTTAGGTTTAGCTAATTCAGTTAAATAGTTTTGTTGTAGTTTTAAACTGATGGCCTCATAGCCAAAGCTCTAAAATAAAAAATAAAACAAATAAAAAACAGTCTGTCAACAGTTAAAATAAATCCTGACTTAAATAACATATACGAGACTCCCTCAGAGTCACCGAACAAAACTTTCTATATACACTCTCTCCATGATGTTTATGAAACTAGCACGTAACGGACACTGGCAGAATTGAGACAATAAATTAGTCTCACAAGCCATTCATTATGGAAAAAAATAAGAATAGAATTAATTATTATTAAAAAAGTAACTATTAAAAACAAGATAAACTATTTAGAAATACTTTAAAATTATATACATATAAATTAAAAATCAAGTTAGCAATGACAACAAGAACAATGACGAAATCATTGTTAAAAGAATTCTTTAGCGTCTACAAACATACGACTATGATATTATGACTAACTATACGTTTGAATAAAATAAATTAATTACATTTTTAACCGACTTGAAAAAAGGAGGTGGTTCTCAAATAGACTGTAATATTTTTGTATATATGTTACGCGATAACTCCGTTTGTGAACCGATTTTGTTAATTCTTTTTTCTCAGTAGTGGTCCCGTTTATATTTGAAGAAAATATCCACCTCAAAGGGTCGCAAACGAAGGGATGAATCCGGTTTCGCGTACTTTCCGGTAACCGATTTCAATAAAACTTGGCAAATAGATGTAACTCCACGAACTTTTAAGGTCGGTTTTTTAGTACTCTGTACAGAGATTAATCAAATTTGCTTGTTTAAGTTTGGAAATAAAATCATATTTAAATGAAATTCAAAGAATTACTTAGTATGTAACCGGACTGATTCTACAACTGTCAGTTTTTTGTTTCGTAACGTTGAGCGACATCTAACCGCCAAAAAGTGATTTTCTATATCTACGTATAGACTGGTCCATAATAAGTTAGTTCACGTAATATCAAATGTACTGAATTGGACCGATTTTCAATAAGAGATTAACTACATACTTTATTACAAAAAATAAAGTAGACAAAGAACTATGGCAAAATCATAGTCAAAAGAATTCATTAGCGTCTTCAAATGTCTTAATTACAAGTTTGAATAAAATAAATTCATTAGGTTTTTCAAATTATAATAGCGGCCAATCCAAATCTGGAAATAAAATCGTATTTAATAGAAACTCTAATGACTATTAATATGTAAACTTATCTGATATCTACAATTGTCAGTTTCTTAATTTCTTAATTATATATTTAATTACTGACTTTTCAGAATAGTAAACCTGAAATAAAATTTGTTCAGGAATTTCAACTCCATGTTTTCACATATTTTTCATAAACAGACGCATTCAAATTATGTCAACAAAAATTAATATGGGAATTTGCCATTGTTCTTTATGTAAAACTACATGACGTGGACGGGAGCGACTTGATTGTGCGTTTAAATTTTCGTCAACAATAACTGTTAGGTAGACAGAGACTACGGATCTAAATTGGCTACGTTCCGGATAATACCTTTTTCGCTTCCTGCACTGTGTATTCTTGGTACAGTCGATGCCCTAAGAAATCTAAACCCCTAACAGTCTATTTGGTTCTAAGTAGATCAGAGTGAAGACAGATGTTAAACAAACTTAACTTTTAACGTGCAAGCGATATAATTCATTTTGGTAAGACTTTCTTATTCTCATCATCAGCATCAATAGTGAATGTTTTAAGAGTTACATCACATAAATAGAAATTTCAATCAAAGAGCAGGAATTCCTTTACATTTTTCTGTTGAATGCATAATAAGGTTGTCAGAACCAAAAGTCGGTTAATGGGTCAGCCATCTTCTTAGAGGATGGAAAAAAAGCCATCTTAGTAAAAATTTTAATCAAATAATTATTTATTCCTTATGAAAAATTTTTACACTTGAAACTCGTTCACTACGCTGAGAAGAACAAGCAAGAAACTAGGGATTGCTCTTTTCAAATAAACCTAAATGCTATGGAATACGCTTTGAATCACAATTGTGTGTAATCTAGACTCGTGTTGTCTTTCCATACATCTTTATCTAAGACATACTCTTCAATTTTGTAATATGACTTTTCAATTTAAATACCTTTAATGTTAGGAAATGATATTACGCTCCGGAATCTTATTGTAAAAACGTATATGTACAGTTCCCCATAAAATAATCATTTACCTTAGGGCATCGACTATACTTTTGACCTGACCTTATTTGCGACCGTTATTAGTTAGATAAAAAGTGCATTCGCAGTAATTGTAGTCCTAGAAAATTGACCGAAGTCCCCGATGGGAATAGGCCGTGTAACCCATTTACCGCCCCGTGGGAGTTGGCATCCTCGATAATTCAATTGAACTGCGCTGTTCTACTTAATACGATCATTCGTAATATGGAACTTATTTGCACTAGTAAAGGAAATACATTGGTTGCTGTAGAGATTTATATCAGAGTCGCTATTGTAATGTCTAGTTGTGATACAGATTGTTCATAATTTTATGTAGTTTAGATAATTCTATGTATTTAGTGGCAGTAGATCTCCTTGTGAAAGAGTTCGTCCAGGGTAGTACTGCCACCTTACCTATTTCTGCCGCCAAGCAGTAATGTCAGCATTACTGTGTTCCGGTTTTGAAGGGTAAGCGTACTGGTGAAATTACAGGCATATGTGACTTGTCAACTTATGTCTCAGGGTGACGGGCGCTGTGATAGTGCCCCTCAGATCTTTGCAATTTAAAGCTCTGAATGATACTGTAACTGTTACAGACAGGCGTGTTGCTTACCGTCACTTGATATTATAAAAAAAAACAGGTACTGTTGGTATCCTCAAGATGTACTTAATAAATTTGGATCTACCGACTGTAGCTGCCGAAAGCTCAGAGAATTATTTAGTGTCTTCCTGTGGGGTTAGGATGTAGAGCGAGTAGAGGGTGTCGGCGTTTACGTAAAACGGAACGAGCATTGGCGGGATGAAAAAGGGATTTTAGCCAATAGCGAAGGGTCACCGAAATATCTTCTTAGATTAAACATATACTTTATTGAAGCGCCCATTCTCGTCTCACTTCCATGGGTCTATAGGATAATCAAAGTAAATGGTGTGAGGTACTTTATGTTACAGAAAGTTTGATCGCCAAACATATTTTTTTCTTTATCTTCAACACTCCTCATTTCCTCATCTTGTACACACAGACTAATGTTACAAAATAAAATTTTATATTCAGACATAAGGCAATACAAAGGTGAAGACAGGTATGAATGTATGTACGTCATCATCATCATCGTCGTCAACTATTTTTAGGTCCCTCTGTTAGGCATGGATCTCTTCTAAGGTTGTTAAGATATTTAATGAGTGTTTTCAGTCAATGCGTGAAGTCGTAATCAACTTCATGCAGTCGAGACCACTACTGCATGAAGTTGATGACGACTTCGCGCATTACCTGCATGCAGACGATCTCGGCTGCATGAAGTCGCTTCCGATTGCATGTAGTTAATGCCTGAAGGCTTTAATGAACTTCATGCAGTCGAGATCTCGGATAACGACTTCACGCATTAACTGCATGCAGTCGGATCCGACATCATGCAGTGTTTGGTCGACCGATGAGACCGATCGATATGCAACGATTAAAACAATTGTGTCCTTTTAACTAACGTTTTAACTAAAATAAACATTGATAAACTACACGGCATGCGTTCCTCCAGCGGTAACCGTGTCTCTGTCAATAGTAAAAGGAAAGTTTCTACGTGGTTAATCAATGGCAACTGAACTGACTAACTACATCGTACCATAAAACATATACGCTAAAAAAATTGCACCATAGTGTATGTCATCAGATAATGTAACGTATCCTCACATTGAGTGCATCCTGCAATGCAGGTGTAATCGCAGCCATGAATGAAATTATCACGATGATGTTTTTGTTTCTATTTCCATCAGAGGAATAGGATCTCGCTTGTTTATTCCATTTGAGCTATTTTTGCGATTCGGTGCTAAGCAAAAGGTTAACTCACATCATCCGCTCGTCAAAATAGCGAGTCTAGCAGCGAGTGAGCAGAGAGTCTTTTGTTCTGGACAACCGAAGTACAACACATGAGACGAACTAATTGATTATGGCATGTATTTAAATTATCATTTTAAATTTGCAAAAGTAGCAGGCAAAAAATCTAAACGGTCATCTTTTTTATTCTTTGATGCTCTTTCTCTAAGTCTTAAAATAAACTAAATCGATGGATATTTTAATCTGTTCCGAGCTACGCAAAAAATCTTTGAGTTGTATAAATTAACTCCGATAGTTTTATGTTGGGCCTCAAAACTAAGGCAAATAAGCATTAATAAAAAAAATTTAGATACTTATTTTTAAAACTAAGTAAATGTTGATTATATTTGTATGCTAATATTATATTAAATATAATATAATTTGACCTGAAAACAAGTTCGGACACGCAAGCAAATTGGCTTCTGCTTTTTCATATACTAACCTAACCTACTCAATGGACCAATATTTAATAGGAAATCAACATCAAAAGATATTCTGGTTATAAATGTTATCAATCGTATGCTTATATGCGTATGCAATTTAGTATGCTTAAACATAATAATAGTGTTACCTTGAACACAGTTCATGTATAATTTATCAATAGATTAAGTAATATAGATGGAACAATTAATATACATATACATATATGAAACAAAAAAAATATCGTTTATTTAAAAAAGAGCACATTTACATTAGGTGAATTATTTCTTTGAGGATCAAATAATATTATCCCACTGAAAATAGCGACCAAACCGTATGGTTTGGTCGCGGTTTTCAAAACAGAAGTACTTAATCAGGATTATTAAATGGTAAATAGTTGACAAACTTCAATAGGAGATAAGCATCGGAAGTAAAAAGTTATAAGGGCAGTTAAAAAACGCCCAAAACCCCGCTACAAGTTTGCTCCGTATCACAACATTAAAAGAAACCTTGAAAATAAACTTTAGATATAGCTTGGTACAGTACAGTTTAAAAGACAAACAATTTAAGAAAAAACTAAACACGATGCATGTCGCCGCGCTAATGTATTTAGTATTTATACAGTTCTTACACATAGGAAATGACAATATTTTTGTAAAGTCATCAAAAGTGCACTGAGACATAAGTTGACAAGTCCCATGTGCCTATATTTTCACCAGCACCTTTACCCTTCTAAACTAAAACGCAGTAATGCTAACATTATTGTTTGGTGGCAGTAATAGGTAAGGTAGCAGTACTTCTCTGAAAGAACTGTTTCGCAATTAGCTCTACTGCTGCTAGTATTATAAAGTAGGTATACTGTACAGAACAAAGTCTGTAGCCCACTTTAGAATGATTAGATTTGAACCGAGCCCAGCAGTGTATGCGAGTAAAACTCGTTAAACTCAACGTCAGGTGGCAACAGATTGAAGAATTCAATATCGAAAAGATAAATATCGCAACGGGATATGTCCTTGTTTTATTCAACTCGTCAAAATCGCAATTGGAAGAGTATATGAGTCAATTGATTTTATTGTGATACCAACCGAGTTGCATGTGTTGATGTCCTTGACTGCGCCAGAGTCGAGCAGCTCGACGACAGTGTCAAGCTGTCCAGCGCGCGCCGCTCGCAAGAACGCTGTGTTCGGCTCTATCTGCAAACAAAAAACAATTTATCATTACTCCCGCTATGTTAGGCCATACTGACGTACTTTCAGAGCATGAGAAGTGAAAATGTCTTTGTCATAACTAACAAATCGACATTATTAGCGAAATTGAGTTATTAACGTATTTGGGATCAGCCAAACGAGATCTACAACCCCTTATAAGCTTTTTTTATACCTTAGTCAATTACTGTTTAATTGTTTGACAATTTACACATGTCTTAGAGAAACAATTCATAAGATTTATTTATAACATCAAGTGACGGGACGTACAAGTAGTGCGCCTGTTAGTAAGCTACACGCCTGTCTATAACAGTTACAGTGCCACTCAGAGCTTTAAATCGCGAAGATTCGAGGGGCATTGCCGACGACTGAGACATAAATTGACAAGTCCCATGTGCCTGTAATTTTCATCAATTTCATCAGCATCCTTACCCTTCAAAACCGAATCACAGTAATGTTGATATTACTGCTTGGCTGCAGAAATAGATAAGGTGGCAGTACTACACTGGACGAACTTTTTCACAAGCAGCTCTACTGCTAGTAAGATTCTATATACAATAGCTTAAGAATTCTATATTCGTTACTCCAGAATAAACTTTGCTATTCAAAGACTTCAATTTAATATTACAAAGTATGTACCAATAAAGATGTCGTTGTTGATAGCAAAGTAATAGTACTTTCACCTGTCATCATCACAAAATATATTTCAAATTGTCATTTCTTTCCTAAACTCGTAAGCAGTCAGTACAAAGTCAATTGGGAAGGTCAAGGTGGCTGCGTAACCAAAGCTCAGTTCAATGACTATCGTGCGAGATGATTTCACGCCTACTTCGACAATCCGTGGTAATCACGGCTTGGAACCATTTCTAAATAACATCTATTATTTTGATTCCGTGATTTTAAAAAACGGTGAACGTGATGTTATAAAAGCTATATTTTTCTTATAATGAAAATGTGAGAGACAGGAATGCATTCTGCATCTACTACGGGTAGTGCATTGCAGAGGCAGAATGCATTTCTGACGTACCTATTCCACGTAACACGATTGTTGTTCCTGGGTCATAAATATCATTATCTAATTGGTTCAACAGAAAAACACTAAAAGTTCATATGCCTGCAAAAACTTATGGTGAGGACAACAAAGTTGAAATTTGCGTACCACAAAACGTACAAATTTTCGGGTTTCTCTTTATTTTTAAGACAAAAACGTAATATTATATTTGAATCAACGGTACATTTCAACCAAAATTCTACGAATTGATAACAAAGAACCTAGAAATGTGTAGATTTTTTGTAAGAGTAAATGCCACTATGTAGCTATGGTAATAGGCAGCTATCTAAATGCCACACACCAGCGAGAAAAGCAAAATTTCATTTCTCAATAAAATAAAAAACCAATACTGTCAAACCAGAAACAGAAGTATTTCGAAAATTTGTTACTTATTGTTATTGTTGATTCACATACGAATAAACAATATTACTGAGATCGAGTTTGCAAGTATTTACGATATCATTTTAAATCAGCGTTTTAACTTTTTTCTAGTCATGGATCCCTCTCAAAATTTCAAAGAGCCCACGGACCGTTTCCGAAAAGATGAAGAAGAACTTATTGCGGTGTACGGATAAACCTACGCAGGTTTTTTTGTGCCGCCAGGTCTTGATTAATGAGTATTCGTTTTATAGAATTTGTAATATGCGGGTTGATTGACGCGCGTGTCGATCGCTCTTATAATGGACATAAGTCAAAGAGTGCGTATACCAATTTTTATATGAAATTCAATATATTAAGCATTCTCGTCATGAACCCCCGGTGTTCATGACCGGACCCCTTAGAGGTCCATGGACCACAGGTTAAGAAACCCTGCTTTAAATAGAGTTTAGACAGTTATTCATAAAAGGCAAAAAAACACAAGATTTGTGCCTAGACATTATTGTACACACGTATCTACATGTGGTATCTAGGAAATTGAAATATAATTGGATTTACCCGAAAAAAAAAAGGTACTTTCCAGTTAATACGAAGGGTTATACTATTTCAAAGTTCCATTTCAACGTTGAATCGTGCCATTTTCACGCGAACCTGATTCCCGAAAATTTTTATTAGAGTCGATGCCAGACGGAAATCCAATAACCGATATAAGTATTATGCTTTTTATTTTCAATAGGATACGTTGCTATATTCCATCGGATATAATATCATCACATGAATCTCTTAGACGTGATGTGCTTTCATTTCTAAATTAAATTTCATGAACAAGGGTTGTACAATTTTTACTTTGAAAAAATACACAACAATTGTTGGGGAAAATTTAACCTCTACATCCAATTACTGAACTAAATAACTAACGTACTTGCGTCTCATTTTTGGTCGATATGTTTTGAACCAGCCACCAGTACTTCACGACGAAAATGTTAAGTTTTCGATCAATAGATGGCGCTGGCATCTCCTTTTTATTGGCCATACAATTTTTAAACAATATTTCAGAACCCGAAATACATTTCGCAAAGGCAGTGATTTACTTCAAAACATACCTAAAAAAAATAAATAAGACAAGTACAATCAATAAACTTCTAGATGTGTATGTTCAAGGAAAAAATATTTGGCGCGTTAGCCACCAGGGGCGATATGAGCTGAGGACTCAATCTATACCCGTTATGTTTAATGTATGCTGCGACTGTGACGGTTTGTCCATCGGTCAAGCACTTAGAGGATGCAAAAAAAGTAAAGGAAGCCAAGCGTGACTTCTATGACAAATCCCTCTGTTTAGGAGCCTTTATTTTTTTCCATTCTTTAAGTTTAGGAGCGAAAACAACCTACACACATCAAAAAAAGTTTGCGATCAATAGCATAAGCTCCTATAATTCTTTAAATTTAACTTTATCAAGAAAAAATCTATGTTGTATGCTTTCTTTAAATAGGAATACCCTGTTTGAAATTAAAATATAAAACTATTTTATATTATTTATTTTAAAAAATTGAGCCATTAATCATAATGTAATAGTGATAGAAATTTCATAGAAAGAAAAAGACTGTTTAATTAAACTTAAACAACAATTTATTATTAAAAGGTGTGAATTCAATATAAAATAACTCCTCCCCTGGCTCGAATACATGCGAAGATCCTCCTGGGCATGCTGAGGATCAAGTTATCCAGCATTTCCTGGGGTAACCTATCCCATTCTTCAATAGCGGCTTCCCTGAGCTCTGGAACTGTCTGGGGACGTGGCTCACGGTTCCATACTGCTCGTTTAAGAGCATCCCACGCGTGCTCTATTGGGTTTAAGTCGGGCGAGCCGGCAGGCCAGTCTAATCGTGTGATATCGTATTCTTGAAGAGCGGCATTGACTCGTTGAGCTCGATGTGCGGGCGCATTATCATCGACCAGTACAAATTGGTGCCCATGGTTTACTCGGAATGGTCTGACGATATCATCAATAGCAACTGCTTTGTACATGTCTGCTGTCATGAAGCCCCGATACGGGATCAAAGGCGTTCTAGCTCCAATCATAATGCCACCCCAAAAGGACACCGATTTTCCGCCTTGCTGAACTGTTCCAGTGGCAGTTCTTTGTCTTTCACGGTCGCCTGGTCTTCTCCAGACACGGACACGTCGGTTATCTGGATGAGTGCTGATTCGGGGTTCGTCAACGAAGAGACAGTTTTGCCAAATGTTTTTGTCCTCACCTTCTTCATTTTGCCGAAGTCTAGCCCACTGCAATCTTCGTTGTTGACGTTGCCGGGAATTGAGCGGAGCTCGCCAAGACCTCCGTGCTCGTAATCCAGCCTGGTGCAAGCAATTGCGAACGGTCTGCGTGCTAACTTCAAGCCCAGAGGCGGCCCTGACTTCTGCTTTTATTTTAGTGGCGTTGATTGTTGGATCACGGGCTGCCAGCAATCTAATATAGCGCTTTTGGGCAGCTGTCAAAACAGTTGGGCGACCGCTGCGGGGTCGGTCAGCTAAATTCCCCATTCCGTGATACCTCTGCAACGTAGCCACGACCCAGGATTGGGATATAGCAAGTCTGCGTGCTATTACTCTCGTGGTGTATCCTTCTTCCCTCAAAGTTACTATTCTAGCTCGTAAAACCTCTGATAATCCTCTTGGCATTTTTTCAATCACAACTTTCCGCGAAAAATATCTTGAATCGCTTATAATTGACTAAATCAGATTTCTGAATGAGCGTAAGCTAGGACTGAAAGCCTTTTTATATGAAAAAACAATTGAACGGGGTCATTGTTTTATGTTCTAATTTATTTTTAAATAAAGAATCTAAAAAGAAGAAAAAATCATAATATAATCTACAGTAACAAAAAAGATTTCAGTTTTTCGAAGTGATCGCAAACTTTTTTTGATGTGTGTACAAACAACATAGATAAAAACATACACTTAAGAAAGATGCTAAAAACTAAACAACAGTTCTGTAGCTGTGGTTTATTTTCTAGCTTGGCGATAAAAAAGTTTTGCTTCGCCAGGACAGCGATTAAATCGATATTGAATTATGTTTGGACACTTTCTGAGCGATTTATTATATATTTTCGATTTATGTAATTCCGAGAGTGGACTAAACCTATTCCTCTTTAATTTCGTTTTAAGTTCTGATAATATTGAGATGACAAGGTCTTTCAAGACAATACTAAACTTAAATAACCTATAAATAAAATGAATTATAGCACAATAGTACTAATTGGTGGCAAAAACTAACATAATTAATAGACAATCATAGGTTTAGTAGCTGTAGAGCTCCTTGTGAAACAGCACTGCCACCTATTTACCCATACCTATTTCTGCCGTCAAATGAGATTACATTCCGATTTTGAAGGGGCGCTAGTGAATTTTTATTTGTTATTGGGTATTCGATGTACTTGAAGAAATATTTGCTATACAGGCAAACATGTCGACACTTACAAATATGACACTCTACACAAGGTGCAAAATAAGGAATTAAAATCATTGACCTATTTGTTGGTAGGTCAATGGTTAAAATAA